TTAAAGAACTGCTACCTCCTTTTTTTGGCCTCTTTCGCCTTTTCCTTTGCAGCCTGGAAAGCCCAAGGTGAGGTCTGTGTTGGAGAACTAGGGAAAATGTTTCTGAGGAGGCTGCAAGTAAGTGCTTTATTAGGTGGGAAAAAAAAAAAAAAGCTCCATTTAATTGGCTCTGTCTGCAGTGAGATAAGTGCATCCTTTTCTTGTTATATCAGTGGAACTCAGAGTCTATAATTTCTTCTCTCATTCTGCTAGATAAGTATGAATGACGCTAACTCGTCCTTGGCCCTTGCGCCGGTAGATGAGGCAGTCAGCCATATACAAAGCTAAGAACAGCCCCAACCTGGATAAGCCCCTTCAGCAAACACCACCCCAGAGGGGCTTAAAAGAAAAAGGTGGGTCGTTGCCAGGCACGGCCCATTACACACACTTAAAGGATGGTGCACAGCCAGCGCACACTGATCCTGGAGGCATAAGCTACTATTTAGGCCATGCATCTCCACAGCTTCTGTACTTGCAGGCGGCGAGAAGCAAGCCCGATCAGGCCTGTGGTATCGACTGCCTTTGTACTGTCTCTTTCTGGGCACTCTTTGTTTGCCTGTTTTATTCTGCTAATGCTGAAAAGAATTCAATTTTAAAAGGGAAAAAATGGAAAAGAAAAGCATAGTGCCATTGAGTCCTAAGAGTGCCATTGAGTCCCTAACTCATTCCCCAGCTGTTTGCTCCGAGGCACTGGAGAGTTATAAATAGCCAGGAGCAAGAATGCAGAACAGTGGTATATACATTTTGTAAAATGGAGCTCCGAGCAATGTCCTGGTTTCAGGACCAGTGAAGTCAATAATGGCCTAGAATCTACCTCCATGTGCAGGTTATTATAACATGGAATAATAATAAAAGTGTTCCTGGATTTTCACAACTTCAAGCCATAAAGAGGAGGGAAATTGTATATTTACTTTGCCTTCCAGTCACTTTTTGTAGTTTTTATTGTATCTTTTCCCAGAGAAGAAACGAAAGGAGCAATGTTGTTCATCTCTGGATAAAGAAGAAAGAGGAGAAAGGGGAAAAAAGACACAAAAGATTTGAGTCTGACTTCAGTTCTGCTGGAGTCATTCAGGCTTAACAATGCTGTAGTGAGTAGTAAAAATCATGTGAGCAAGTCAGTATCTGGTTCAGTGGTTCCCAATTATAGACAGCTTAGCAAATAAAGGAATCAATGATAAAACCACAGCTGATTAATATACATTATCTGCCAGTGCAAGCAGTGGTTCTTCATTTATTGCTAAGCAGAAGTACCATAAGTCATTCTGTGAGAAAATTTGAAGCATGCAGAATAGTTAGTAGAAAGTGTTCAGTGTATTATGGCCTAGGGGAAAAAAGAAAAGATAGAATGGGGTCTCATGTAGTATGTGACTGGGTACAAGGATTTATGGATATAACTTCTCCTGCTAGGGAGGAACTGTGTTGTAAAAGTCAGTATTGCTACATTAAATTATTCCAGTGACAATTAAGAGAATAGCAGTCTCCTCAAACCAAGATTTGTGTGTAGGAGAAGAAAAAATCAGTTAGCTGAAATTTCCCTGTTGTGTTGTAGTTTTTTTTGATGTTTTTGAGTGAAGTAGAGTTATGCTGATTGCAGTCTTTTGTCCTCTCTGCACCCCTGTTTCCCATCCATAAAATGGGACTGACTGTTCTTATTACAAGGTGGAATCTGTAGAGTTGTGAGACTGTAAGATATTTTGCTAATCAAGAGCAAAATCTTTCCTAGAGAACAGATATTTTTCCAGCCTGCCTTGAGGTAGATGACAGATGACATCTACCACCTGACAGATGACAGATGCTCTGTCACTGGTGCAGCTAACACCCTCACTGCCACTGATGAGTGTATTTGACCAGGAGAAGCTGTGAGATGGTCAAGGCACTGCTTGAACACCCAGATTAATTTCTGCAGCGTACTATTGGCTTCCTGGCCATTGACTTCGGAAGAACTTCTGACTGGTTACCTGAAGGTGCAAAGGAAGCAGATGGGAACCGAAATAAAGAAGATGACAGACAGAAGAAGAAGGACTGTCTGAACAAGTCAAGGCTAAAAAGAAACACAGTGGTCTATGATAATTAGGCAGTGCAAACGGCTTGGTTAAAAGTAGGAAGAGCACAGGCAAAAAAAACAGTCCATACGCAGCTGCTTCACTTCCAAGTAGTGTGCTTTGCACATGCTACTGAAGCTCCAGCTTGTGCAATGGAAACATTCATTTGCAGGCAAAGGGAATGTGGTAGTATCTATTCCAAGATGATCTTGTTTTGATTTTTATCTTGTATGTGTTCTCATCTCCTGCTTTGTAGTGCTACAGACTTATCTTTCCTGCAAGCATGAGGCTGCACTCAGCAGTGTGTGGTAATTAAGGCCTTTGAGGGTCATGCATATTTTATTTATTACTTGTTTTAATTGTCAAAAGCTTGCCCACATAAGATAGAGTCTTGCATTCCATGTGGGACTGAAATAAGGGTCAACGCATTCTTTTAGAGCCCCACATACTAAACAGACATTAATTTGTTTTGAGCTTTGCACGTTTAAGATGGGCGTAAATCAAGATGTACAATGGGGAAAAAATTTCCTCCATATGTTGGAAAATTGAATGGAGACACTAACTCTAAGTGACAAAAATGATTAAATGATTTGTTTAGCATTTATGTAATGTATGAATGCACCTTGTCTGTGTTAAAGCAAAGTAATGATTGGTTTTCCACAAGCAAGAGCTGTGAATTTTAGCTGTATTCCCTTTTGGGATTCTGAAGTTCTCAGGTTCCGACTTACACAACAGCAAAGTCTAAACGCAGACCAGTTTTTCATCCATGAAATGGAAGTTAAATAACGCTTGAACGAAGTAGACAAAACAAGAAGATACTTAGACTAACTGGAAACATCAAGATTTGAAAATTACCTGATAGGAAAAGGGAGGGGAGGGGGATCAAAGACATCCCAGGGAATGTAAAATTCCTTCCCAGCGCTTCCTGTTCTCTCTGTTATGCTAACCAAGGTAGGATTAGGTTTCAGCTGCCAAAAGAAATAACATTTGTAGATTTTTTTTGGTCTGGGGAAGTGGGATAGAGAGATTTAAGACAGCTTTTTCCAAACTATTTGGTTTTTGTCAAGCAGTCAAGTCTAGTTATTGTTATTAATTTGTATTACAGAGCTACCAAACTGAGACTGGATTTCCATTGTATTAGGTGCTGTACAAATATCCAGTCAGAGACTGGTCTTACCTCAAAGAGCCCATAGTCTAAATAGACCAGACAGGCAAAGGGCATTTTGCCCTTAAGCTGTATAGCTGCTTAGTAGTTGAGTTAGGAATTACACTCGTCTTCCTGAGTCATAGCCTAGTGCCTCAGCTACTGGAGTACAGATCTAGAGAACAGAGCTGTCACTGAAAGAAATGAGCCTGTCTTCTTGTTCTCACACACAAGATGGGGTGAGATCGGTCATTAGGTTCTTCAAGCCCCTTTGTCACCATGCAAGCAAAAGCTTTTGCATCTATTTTAGGTCTCACAAGTGCAGTTCCTTGCGTCACATTTGCAGCAGTTCAGAGGAAGAAGAGAAGCTAGAGGAAAAAAATTAATATAGTATTCAATGCTCATGGAGCTCTCCAAAATCTGCTTGCGGAGCTTTACGCTGGACTCAGCTCAGGGCAATCTCTAGTCTGAGCCAGCTCTTCCGAAATCACAAGGACCGTTCAAAGGGCTTTAGGAGCCTACCCTGCATAGATGCTTTTGTCAATCCCATCTTCACAGCCCCAAATATCTTTGTAAAATTAGTCCTAAAGAGCCTGAAAGGTAGGGCGAAATACTTGAAATTATGCTGAACCTTTTAAAGCTTCTGTAATGTTGCCAAACATGCCACCTTGACACATGGAAAAGTAACTCAGTGAGAAGAAATTACCGTCTTCTCTGATACTCCCTGGGCATCTGTGTTGATGTTCTCAGCTACCGCAAATGCAAGCTTAATGTGAGTTAGTGTAACTGGCTGTCATTGATGGCTGGCTGCATGAACTGGAGAGGCCTCGCATCCATCATGAGCACGCGGACAATCATTGCATCTCAGCTGGGGCTCTGTAAGCACTGCACTAACTGCGCTAATTTGTTCATCTGTTTAGTCCTTACAGTTTGCTGTTATTTTGGATTCCTTTTATAGGTCCATTTCATATAATAAGGTTCCAAAAGGGGCAGGATGTCTGTGTGGGGGATATGCATTCCAGTCTGCTCCTCACTTTATAGTTTACAGAACCATACCTGGAAATTCAGATGGCCTAAATTCATCAGTAAGTGCCTAAAGGAACAGCCTAAAAACGTAATACTGTGAAAAGCAAAAAGAAATGTCAAGTAAACTTTTTGAAAGGTCCCAAAGCAGCAGAGGCTCGGAGTAGGGAGAAGGCAGCATTCCTCCCTGTTTCTCATCTGTTTCCAGATATCTGCCTGGCATGAACTGACATGTAATGCTACATGCTATGTGACCCTCTGACAGAAAAGGAGATTGCACTTCTTGTGTACACTGGAAGTCTTAACCTTGTTCTCATGCTAATATCGAAACAAAAGACTTTCTATAGAAAAAAATCTGAATGAAAGGGAATGTAAGTATAAACTTGAAGCTGTTTATTCTAAAGTGGTATTTCAGTGGGTAATTCCAAGCCAAACCTATGTGCAAATATTTGAAGTACGACTTGAATTTTGAAGGGCTTTTTTTACATGGGAGAATTTCCTGCTTCTTGTTTTTGAAATCCTAGCCTAAATGTGCACAGGTGACTTCAGCTTTCTGCTGTGCGCGTCTGAATTGCAGACAGGGAAGTAGTTGGGCAAGCAGCAGATTGGCTGTCACCTGTTTCTCAAGATGCCAGCAGTTAGCACAGCAGACCCTCTGAGTTTGCTCACAGGAACAAGCTGGGGTAATGTTTAACTTGGGTCTGCGGAGTCTGTGGCTTTTACCTTTCTTTATTATTAACCCAGCCCCTGTTTTTCTTTACAGTTGCACAGCTGCTGGCACACAAGAAACAAAAGGACCCTTGAAATAACTTCCTCATGGAGGCATGAGCAAAGGTAAAGTACCTTTTATATTGTTTCCATACTTACACATTTGAGAGCAGTTAACACATTTCTGTGTTTGCTTTTTCGCTAGGGCAGAACAACCTGTCAATAACAAGAGAAGTATTGTGTTATTGTGTCTTTTTTAAATTAAATCACTAGATAGGACCAGCTGATTTCATCCTGATATGACACAAACCGAATAAGTATCTATATACGTAGTATAAGAGTAGGCACAGTGAATCCTTTCAGTCATTAACATTTACACAGATACACGCACACTCCCTTCCATTGCTCTATTCTTCAGGCTGATAGCCTTATCTTTGTAGCTATTGTTTTCCTCTTACTTTTCTCAACTGCTCAGGTCTGAAAAGATCTGCCTCCTTGTCTCCCTGTGGAGAGGCATACCTGTACCATCAAGATCTGAATTTACACTAGTCTGTTTGCTAAGCTCCCACAAACAAGTTATACCATTGTTTTGGGTACGTTCTGCACCCTTCTTGCTTTTTTTCTCTTCTCCTGGGTAAACTGTGAATTAGGGAAGAAAAGCTTCTTGGTGAAACAAGCACCCATCAACACAGTGTGCAAGTGACTGGGGACACTTGTACCACAGTTGTTCTGGTTACTGTATCATTACAGTATGAATACTTTTTCTAAACAAATGTTAAATATGTGTGTGTGCTATGCAGTGGCTTGGAATTGTTTTGCAGAGAGAAGATTTCACTTCCTCAACTCTGTTTTCATTTGCTGTGACATAAATTTACATGGAAAATGATTTAATTGCACTTTAGCCAAAGTAATACATGGAAGGAAGTTTGAATGAAGATGAAAAGAATGGGAGTTAAAACAAATTCTTAAAGATTTAAAAAGTAGCTGTTAATTGCATTGTTTCTGATTGTATTATTCATGCTAGATAAATATAATGCATTGTTTATAAATGGTAACATTTTAAAAGGAATGCGTTATACAAACTTCAGTAAAAGAAGAACAAACTTGTTCCCATTTCCAACTACTCAGAGTTCAATTTCACTCCATGAGTAGTAATCTGATGAAATGAAGCAACAGAAGGGCTACATCACTGATTAAATCCTGTAAGTCAGATGTGAGTTTCATCCTACAACTTCAGTAGACTATCTCAGCCCCCATACATTCTTTAGGAAGACCCAAGTGCAATTTCCCCTCTGAACTGTGGTGTAAGCATGTGCTGCTCTGTGAGGATGAGCGTGTCCAAAACTATTGGGTACCACTGGAGAGGAGATTTCTACTAGCGCTGCAGCTACTCCGTTTGCATATTTATTTATATTACAGTAACATTTGCAGCATGGTAAGTCCTCAGAGGAAGGCAGTTCCTGTACATTATCTTTCAGCTGTATTGCGAATATGGGCCTGGATCCTTGAACGTATTTGACCTGTAAATGCTTAAGAATTTGTGAGCAGAAGTTGAGAGTCACATTATGAAATGTAAAAGTGGCAAGGTCACTAAGTGTTATGAAGACACACTAAGTGTTATGAAGACACACCATCTTCATAGCTCCCAGAAAGAAACTATAAATAGCTGTCTGAGAGTAGTTCACACATTTTTGGTTCTTGCAAACCTTATTAGATTAGAGTCAACTCAGGATGACTGAGAGCTCTGGTAGGTGCCCTGGCCTTCTCTCTATAAGATTGAATTATTGAGGGTTTTTTGGTGGGAGTGGAAATGGAGCTTATCCATGAATGCAGGCATTTTGGCATATGGGAGTAAGACTGTATACTATTTCCTGTTTTGATCAGATCCAGCTGTTTATTTAGCCCTGAAGATCACTGTGGCCATAAGCAACGGATAATAGAGATGATAAGGTGGCTAACAGATATTTCCTAAACATCCATCATATACAGCTAGATTCTGTCACTTTACTCCCACTGAAGAATATTGAAATGAATTAGTGGAATAAATTAGTACACATTGGAAGGATGTCAGAATGCAGACCCAAGTGAGCGTGAAAATTTGAATCGTAAGAGAGAAAAGTAAACGAGTTGCATTAATTTTGAGAGATTCTCTGCATTTTTCAGTTGCAACTGGCACCTTGGTTATGAAATAAGTAGGAAGTCAGTTGTGAAGCTGTGAACCTGTTTCTACAATGGCTGAATTCAGATTTTGCAGTTCACTGAAAGATGAAGAGATAAACAAGCAAAGCAAACACAACAAAACACAAACCAATTTTCTAAAAGAATAGGAGAACTGGCAAGTAGATAAAGAACCATGTGTCTGTTCAAAGGTGACCCAGATCAGCAGAGGATGAATTTGACTTCTTTTTGTCAGGAGTTTAATGTTTGTTAAGGGTCCATGGGTTTCTTTCCATTGCCCTAAGGGTTTTTTTTTTTTTTTTTTTTGTAATCTGGCAATTCTACAAAGCATATGTTGGAATTTAAACATATTTGCCTAGTTTGTTCTGGGCGCTACTAAATGCAAATAAAGACCCTGGCATGAAAAGCAGCTGGAGTGAAGATTTGGCTTTATGGGGCGCCAAGGAGCCAATGGACCATTGAGAACTAGTATTCTCATAGGACTTGAAGGACCCTCTGCCCCTAGGTGAAAGCAAACACATCAGAAAGGAACAGGGGGAGATCTTCATTGCTTTCTCTTGGAGCTTCAGAACTGGTGAAGTGGTAAAAGAAAAAATGGATAACCTTACCTGACAACTGTTCCAGGGGAGAAAGTAGGAAATGAGAAGTGACTAAATTCTAGACTATCTGTATTAGAAGTTGGTAAAACTTGAGTTAACTGCTTGAGTTAACTTTTGGCTGTACTGCTGTAACAGAGCCAGCAGCAAGAATCCAATCACAGCAGGGCGTTGGTCCCTTCAGGAGGGTAGTTGGATTTTGTTTGTGTGTGTGTGTGTGTGTGTGTGTGTGTGTGTGTGTGTGTTTGTTTCCCAGTGCAAAACGTGTTTTGGTCTAGTTTACAGCCAGTTCCAAAACAATCTAGCCCTATCCCAAAATGGATAATATTAAAGGATAGGACAGTCTTGTTGCCTTACCACCTCATCTTGCTTCAGAAACATACACATAGACAGCAAAGAAAACATTCTTCTCAAGCACCACTGCCCCATCCAGGCTCTTTGGCATTATTCTGGCTAGTAAATAGATTAGACTTTGTTGGGAAACAAAGTGCAAAGAAATAACTCCTTTCTGTGATTCACTCCAGCTGTTTACATGCTTCTGACCCACCATATAAACTCTACAGCAAAAGAATCCATTGGCTAGCAGCAATGTGCAGTGTCAAGTGTTAAAATGCAGTGCTAATCATAAAAATAACAATAACACTATCCCATGATATGATCAGGGTTTCTTTTTCAGAAACTAATGATGTTAAAATAAATGGAATTATGTTACTTTTCCTTTTTTCTAAGTCAGTAAATTCCAAAAGAGGATTTGCCCCACTTCTACAATGTGCTTAAGGACTTACAGCGCACGATCAAGTGCAGATTTATTAGGAGCATGAGGGGTTGACATACGGCATTCTCTGCTTAAAGCTGCTCAGTGCCTTTTCTTTCTGGTCAATGAGGATTTTTTTCATCTTAATCGTTATTCCTGAGACCATATGTGGCCTTGCATTTTGCAGAGCTTTTTCATTGCACAGAAAGAGTGATGAACACTCTTTACTATAAACCGCAAGGAAAACTAGTGTTATGCATAAGTACTGGGATAGGACTTAGAAAACGTGGACTGGAGAAAATGTCAAACAAACTTTTCTAATGCAAGGTTTTTCCTTTTTATTAATGTGGTCAGTGAAAATACTTCCTCTGACTTCAGTGGGCATTGGCTCAAATGACAGTGTCTCTCTGACTCTGTTCCTCTTCTGGAAATTCGGCTCTTGCTGTGCTGTTAGAGCTGGATAAGATCTCTGAGCTTTGCAAAACAGTCTTTTAAGAAGTCATATAGTAGAATTCCTCATTTTGAGTCAAAGCATGGAATACCTAAGAAAACTCTGGGACAGTGGAAAGCAGGAAAACTAAATAGATGTTAGGGGAGGGCAGGTAGGTTGTGCAGGCTGAACTGTTTACCTTTTATAGCAATCAGAACCAAGTGCACAGGCTGTGCTGGGTAACACCGGGTCAAGAAGAGAGTACTTTTGGTTCAAGCACAAGGAGCAAACATTCAGTAAGGACACCTCAGACTTTTACGATACTTCATTTGATAGCCTGAATCAATTTCCACCGCTAAGCAAACAAAGCATTTTATTATTCTTATATTTTGAAACACAAAATAAATAACATACAAAACAGTGAACTGCAGATAAGATGATTTCACACGCTTTGGAAAGCCACTCTAATCTACAGAATAGAAAACACTGGCACAGTCCGTGCTCTGCAGTATCACACATTATAGATCTTCAAAATTATGCGTTGTAATGTACAGACAGATTGGATGGCTTTATCAGAAATGTTTAGCTTGGGAACATCTGTATGTGCACATGGTGTAAAAGTGGTTTGTCTGACAAGAATATTTCTCTGGCTCCTGTTTCACAGCCCTTCTTGATGCAGCTTTTTTTTATTCTTAATCTGCTCTGCATAATGCTCTGCTTTGTTCAGCACAATGGCATGGATGTTGCCAAATATAAATGAAGAACTCTATTGGAGGAAGAGAAATCCAGTTTTTTAAGTAAACTTTTCCACCAGTGTTTAGAAATTTCCTCTCTCAATAGAAGCAGCAGCATTTCTTTTCAATGTTTCTTCTGGCCAGCTATCAATATGTTTTAAGTATGTAACACAGAAAGCTGGAATACTATGTAGGTCCTGATTTTGAACTGCAACTTAAAAGTTTATATCTTTGCTGGATAATTTCTTACCTGAAAAATAAGAATACTCAAATTTTTTGAAGTCATAGGAAGCTATTAGTTTCCCAGCTCTATTTTCTCCCTCCAAAAAAACAGCTTAAAGCAATGAACAAACATGTTGTGAACTAAGTTCATTTATTTGGTAGGCAGATTATTTTGCAATAGTGGAACGTGAAACAGAGTTGGCCAAAAATGA